TACTCAGGTCCCTTCCGACCCTAGAAACTATGAAACTCTTGAAAGATCCAAATGTACTAGAGTCATTAGACACTTGTGTTGTAGCTTAGCTATTATTGTTTTGTAGTGAAGATGGCATCTTTTTCTAGAAGCTGTCAATAACAAAGCTTCTGCTCAGAAAGTCTCAAACTTGCAGTGCTTTGCATACAGACCTGCCAAATGGAAGTTATGTCAGATTCTCAATGCTTAAAAAATATCCTGTTAACTGTTTGAAATCCCAGTGGATTATAGTACTTTTGATTTGTGACACTTCAGATATAAGGGACCCAGACAATTGCTGTTTTCCTTTTCTAACTAGCAAAGGAGCAAGTTGCAGTAATTTAGCATCAATAAAGTTGATTTGTCCCTCTGTTCTTGCAGTTCAAATACTGATTTGTATAGCATTTTTACAGATTGCATCAGAAAACCTGTAAGACTTGACTCTATACATGTAGCTCTGGTTTTTGTTAGAATTTTTGGCTTTCCTGCATGGTAGCCTGTTCACCATCTTACAAGATGAATACTATACCTACTCTATTGTGTTGCCTTGTTCTAGCATCCTCTTACACATTTTTGGAGAAGAAATCTGAGTTAAATGAAATTCCGCTGGCTGCTGAATGCACCCTTGGGGGGCATGTGCCCTGCTGGATTTGTGCGCGGGATGGAGGTGGCCTCCAGGCTGGGGCTCTGCGCCCTGCTGCCTTTGCCCAGGGAGCTGCACGGTGCCATGTTGTGCCTCCCACCACTGGCCGGGCAGGGGATGTGTGGCCAGCATGTGGCTCCTGGGGCAAAGGTAACTGAGCACAGAGCCCCAGCCCATAGTGGGCAGCGCGCCTTCACCCGATTCACAAGTCTGGGGAGCATGTCCCCCGTGCCTCCCCTAGGGGTGTGTGCAGCAGCAGACCTGTGTCCCCTGCCCCGTGCCCCTGGATAAACTGACTGTGGCTCTGTCCCACGACCTGTCCCGACCCTAGCCCTGGGGTCCTACTCGCTTCAGTCCCTTCCACTACCCCACTTCCTTCCTCACTGTGGAGGCCTCGACCTGCCTCCCTTGCCCCTCCACAGACTTACCTGCTGGGTGCTGCTCTACATGCTGTCAGGCTGCATTCCTGTAGGGTTACCATATTTCCAGTTTAAGAAAAAGGACATCGGAGAATTGAGGTTCCAGTTTTTCCATTTACATGTTTAGTGTGAATCAGTCACTTGCTGGTGGGATGGAAAGTTCTTGCCCATCTGATTATTGCTCGCAGGTCTGGGAAGTAATTTGATGTTTTCAGCCCAGTTCCCAGGTGGGCCTGAGTACGGACTGGTTCTTACAAACTTAGAAGTATACACAACTGTTTGAATTACTGTTGCCTTTTATATCTTCTCTGTGTAAAGTGCAGGCTTTAGAGATGCCAGTCTGATAGTTCTCAAGAACGCTTAACTTGTGTGAAATGTTAATGCTCTGAATTAATTCCAAACAATCTGCACTTGAAATTTATGTATAACTAATTAGAAACCAGATTCTTAAGATTTTTTTTTTTTTCCCCATTTACTAAATATTTTTGTGGTAGTTATATGAAGACTAGAAATTGATTTCTAACCACCCATTGTCTTGTACTCACTTCTTTTAAATATTTCCTGACATAAAGCTCTCCAGTGCAAAATATAAACTCCTCTAGAATTGTGGTCAGTTAGTTAATAGAATGTTTTAATAGTTGATGGGTGATTTGTGAAAATAGTGACTGGAGTTTAGAACGTTATGGGCAAATGAGTGTATGCTGTATCACTTCATAATTTGGATCAGGGCAGCCTGACTCATGATCTTTGGGTCGGGCACTGACAAGTGGCTGCACCCTCTGCCTTTGCCTGCAGCAGCCAAATCTGAGACTTTTGATTCTATTTACACCTAGTGGCTGGGATGGCCTATGAGATACAGGACTGTCCCAGACAATACAGGACATATGGTCACCCTAGTCATATGTGGCATGCAAGGGGTTAGATTGCAACCCTTGGGTTCCCACCAGGCTTTTGCTCTTCTTTTTCCCTTCCACACTCTTCCAGCTTTTGCTTCCTGTTCCTGTCCCAGGGACAAGGCAGTGCAGTGTGGCATGGGTTGGGGAGCTAAGGGTGACCCTACCACATAGTGCAGTTGTGGGAGATGGTGCTTGGATGGGTACACAGTGCAGCAGCTGGGGTGGATGGGTGCATCCCCATGGCATGTGACCTATGGGGCTTGTTTCCCTGGCCTGTTAGAAATTGCAAAGTCCTGATTTTAGATATTGGAAAACATTTATGAAATATCTTTAAAATCTTGAAATACATAATTTGAAGTATTTGTAATTGATTGCCACTACTTTTGCTCCTAGTTGTGAATTCCACTAGAAGATTGTTAAAGCTACCAAAACAAACATATCTTCTCAAACAAAAAAGATGGGTGGAGTCATTTCAAAGTGGAGGGTAAGTAAATGTTGTTATGATATAAAAAGCTAGTTTGTAAGACTGCTGCAATAGTTTTATTTAAATAACTTGATATGCCTCTAACTAGAATCCTGAATTGAGTCATAATGCTGAAAGACTCTAAATTGCTTGAATCTAAACTTTTCTAGTGGCCCATTTGTTTAGAAACTGGTAGCCAAACAAAGTGTTCATATTACCGACATGGAAAATAGTGTAACTGGATTCAGAATCTGGGTGCCACACTTCAGGAAGGATGTGGACAACATGGAGAGGGTCCAGAGGAGGGCCACCCACATGATCAGGGGTCAGCAGGGCAGACCCTACAAGGAGAGGCTATGGGACCTGAACCTGTTCAGCCTCCACAAGAGAAGGCTGAGGGGGGATCTAGTGGCCTGTTACAAACTAGTCAGAGGGGACCAGCAGGCACTGGGGGAGTCCCTGTTTCCCCGAGCACTACCAGGAGTGACAAGA